ATCATCCCTATGGACACGAAGCAGAACGAGTAGGCCGGTTCTCGTAAATCTCTATCTCGCGCGACATTTGGATTTTTTACATGGTTTTACAGCGATCCGCGTGAAATTCGCTGAAACGCGCGACGACGCGGCCACACCGCGTCGCGGATGACTATTTGTTCAATACATTTTTTTTTCTCCATTTTTTTTCTCCTTGTCCGATCGGTTTGCCCTCGGTCATTAAACGCGATGTGGTGCGCGGAGGACTCTATAGACTGGAGGGAAACGATGAGCAACACGGGAGAGAAACGAGGACGATTGGGAACGAGAATGAAACGACGGAAGAAAATGAAGACATTGACGAAGAAGACACTGATCATTATTGCCGCGATAATAGTGAGGATGATCAATAGGACGATTAAGATTATGATTAGATACGATGATGATGATGATGATATTGATATTGATATTGATATTGATATTGATATTGATATTGATATTGGTATTGATATTGATATTGATATTAATATTGATATTTATATTGATATTGATATTAATAATGATGATGATGATTATGATGATGACGGTGATGATGATGATGATGATGTTGATGATGAGGAGAAGGGTGATGATGATATGATTATGATGATATTGATGATGATAGTGATGGTGAAGATGATGATATTGATGATGATATTGGTGATGAGGATGATGATGATGATATTGATGATGATAATGATGATGATGGTGATGAAGAATGTCACAAGTGAGAGACCCATTGGTGAAATGTACGCGTAGCTAATTACATTCGCTCGGCTTGATAAAATTTTGCGCAATACGGCGCGCGAACGAATTCGGCTTCGCGCGGCTTTAATTTTATCTGGCTCCCCTCCCTCTCTGTTCCTGACTCGCTGACCGCTCTCTTGACCGTTTCGATGTTCCGCGTTTCCACAGAACAAGCATGGAAATTTTTTACAATCATATCGTTCGTGTTCCGATGACGAATCTGATCGTTAACCTGTAAGAGAGAGAGTGAGAGTGAGAGTGAAAGAGAGAGAGAAAGAGAGAGAGAGAGTGAGTGAGTGAAAGAGAGAAAGAGAGGCGCTGACGGTAGCTCAATCGTTAGACAAAAAGGGGGAGAAAAACGAAAACGAAAAAAAATTGAACCAAAAAGAAAAAGTGTCCAGATTCAGATTTCGGTCCTAGCGTGTTCTGAACGTCTAGTGAATTCTACTTTCTTTCCCTCTGCATAATTTTCAGAAATGGGACTCACCCTTGTGCCTTTACATTTACGTTTCGCGTACGGTTCGTTTAACTATCGTCTACGACACAAAGTAACTTCTATCGTAATTACGAAACTAGCTCGAGCTATAGAAACTAGTCGGACTTCTTCTCCTTCTTCTTTTTGTTTTTGTTTTTTTAAGAAAAAACCAAAAAAATGTCGGACCCAGGGGTGAAGGGACGCGCGCCGACGCGCCACCCCCTCCACCCTTCAAACCGGAAACTCTCCCTAGATGTTGTTAGCGCGGTACGCGTTTCCGTGATTCGTTTCGTATATTTATTCTAGAGCAATAACCGTTTTTATATTTACTTTGTATTGAACGGAATGGGCTATCGCGAAGTAGTACTACGAAATAGCCGTTACGATTCTTGCCAAAAGGGACGGAGAGGGTGGTAGCAAATAAGAATCTCGCAATCATCATCAGCTAGATAACTTATACACATTTGCAAAACTTAACACAGACACACAGTCTTTACACGACGTAGTAATGCGCTTTGGAATAAATGAATTATACACGATAGTGTAACGTTAAACTTCGAAGATAATTGTAATCGAAAAACCGTGCGCCCGTAAACCCGTCTCGCAGTATAACGCGTAGTGTGTCGCCTAATGTGAAGTGGTTTTTCGCGCGATCACGTTTCAATGAAAATGTACGACGAGGAAATTTTAACGATTCACTCGGCCGGTAACAAGGAGATCGGCACAACTATCTCTAGCAGTCGCGGGATCTCTGTCGAAAAGTTTTATCCTCGATTCGTAGGGCTGAACCATTCGTTACGTAACCGATGAACGTTTCTTCCGAAGTCAGATTAATTCCTAAGTACCTGAACGTGATGATTTCGATAATAAAATAAATATTAAAGAGAACGTTATTGATACGAAAGATGTATTTGAAATGATTATAAAGCAAGGATCTATTCAAAGTTTGACAATTGAAATCAAAGATGAAGCGTACATCGTTTCCGGTAGTTGCCATAACCACTTGATCGGTAACCAATCAGTGACACCATGAGAAATCAATCTAATCCTGTTCCAAAAACGCTTTCGATCTTGTTGAAAAAAATAAATAAATAAAAGGAAAATAATGGAACAGTGTTCGAGGAAGTTGTGCCATTCCTTTTAATTTAGCTGAAATCGCGGATGCCAAAACGAAAAACGTTAAGTTTTCGATGTGGTTTGTTTGTTAAGATTTTAAAGCGTTTACCACTTTGATGTTCGTTGCTTCAAATATTTACCGTGTAGTTTTCGTTACGTTGTCGAGCGTTTCTCGTTTCTCCGTGGTGTTCAACGGGAAATGACGAAAGCCGGGAAAACTGTTAACCGAGATCTTCGTTCGTAATTCGAACTGCCGCACGATCGTTCAAGGACGGTTACGATTCGACGCCGCGACTAATGAAGCAGCCGTGTTTTCTTTCGTGGTTGAACAGAG